TTAAAAACTTAAAACTTAATTTTAAGTTTTAAGTTTTTTCATTAACACTTATTTTTAAGAATTAAGTTTTTTATTAATATTTAATATTAAGCGGTTAAGTTGGAGTTAGAGAAACTTAACACTTGATTTTAAGTTTTAAGTAAAATTGGTTAATAAAATGGCTTAATTAAATTGAATTAGAAATAACGTCCCACCCCTATTTTGAATTTGAATTGAAATGAGTACCATTTGAAGATCTTCGTTGCTGAGGTAAAATGTAGCATCATAGTTGCTCTACACATCCGCATCCTATTTTTTAAATTATCATCAATGGGGAATATTTTAATTCTTCGATGATTTGTTCGCTATGGATAAATTTTGTTTTTCTCTATTTATTCATATCGTCATAAATGGAATCATAATAATAAAATAGAAACAAGAATACATACAAATAAATGACATGAAAAGTAAAATGGCTGTGATAGTGATTGACTTAATCTATCGACATCTGGCATTTTGTTATTAGATGATCATCTAGTCATTTTCTGGAAAATCAGTATGAACGTTGTTAGATTTTATTGAGTGTCATTTGTATTGAACTTCATTTTTTTTAGTTTTTACTCTTTTCTGCTCGTTAAAATAGAACATATTTGAAAAACAAAAAGCATGAGTATTTTTAGTAATTTTTTTTAAGTATTTAATAATGATAATAATGATTTTGTAGCGAGCTACTTTTTTTCACACTTAATAACAGAAATGAACAATAGTAAACGAAGTAGAAGAAAAAAACAAAAGACAATATCTGTGTATGTATATGTGCCAATACATTTGCTTGGATTTTGTTTTATTTTTATTTTTTAAATGATGATATTTGATTTTTTTTGAGCAACAGAATTAGTTACTGCTTGTTTAGCTTGATATGTTTGAAGTATAGCAATAGCTTCTTCAACCTAATATAAAATAAAAATAAAAAATAATTTATTTTAAAATTGAATAAACATACTTTAGCTTTAAGTAATTCACTTGATTCGAGCATATAAAGAAGTTCAGTATTATCAATTTCTATGAGCATACCAGTTATTTTACCAACTAATTCTAGTTGAATTTGTTGAATCAATGGAAATAAACGTTCACCTAACATTTGTTTTTGCTCTAATGGTGTTGCATTAGCAAGAGCAGCCAATGTTAATGATTTTTGTT